ATCCCAGGTCCTGAAAGGCCCCAAAGGCCTCAGGCCCTTCAGGAGGGGAAATGGGCAGGAAAAGGGAAAATTGGAATAAAAAGGAGGAAAAGGGCGGAAAAAAGGAAAAAAAGGGACTAAAAAAGGAGGGGGGGGAGGGGAATGAGAAAGGAAAAAATATTTTGGGTTTTCCTCTTTTATTTATTGCAGATTTTTCCATTTCAGATTTTCCCTTTTATTTCGGATTTTCCCCTTTTAGTTCAGATTTTCCCTTTTTATTTCGGATTTTTCCCTTTTATTGCAGATTTTTCCCTTTTAGTTCAGATTTTTCCATTTCAGATTTCCCCCTTTTAGTTCAGATTTTTCCCTTTTATTTCAGATTATTTATTTCGGATTTTTCCCTTTTATTTCAGATATTTCCATTTCAGATTTTTCCTTTTTATTTCGGATTTTCCCATTTATTCCGGATTTTTCCCTTTTATTTCAGATTTTCCCCTTTTATTTCAGATTTTTCCCATTTATTCCGGATTTTTCCCTTTCATTTCAGATTTTTCCCTTTTATTTCAGATTTTTCCATTTCAGATTTTCCCCTTTATTTCAGATTTTCCCATTTATTCCGGATTTTTCCCTTTATTTCAGATTTTCCCTTTTATTTCAGATTTTCCCCTTTATTCCGGATTTTCCCCTTTAAAAATAAATAAATAAAGTTCCTTTCCCTCTCTCCCGCCCTCCTTTTCCTCCATCCATCTCCCCTCAACGAGACTCCTTCACTCGCTCATTCATTAATTAACCCCCGCTAATTAAAACCCCGCCGGGGCTCCTCGAGGCCCAGCCAGACAGAAAAAAAAAAAAAATAAATAAATAAAAGAAAAAATTGAGACGTTTTTCCCCCGATTTTTTCCCGATTTTCCCCTTTTTTTCCTCATTCCCTCCCCTTCTCCCTGCAGGTTTCCCGCTGGAATTAATTCTCGGAAAAATCCAAATTATTCCCAATTTTTGGGGTGGTTTCGGGCTGGGCCCGCGGACAGGATCCCAAATCCCCAAAAAAGCTCCTCCCCCCAGAAAAGCTGAGCTTTTTCCCATTTTTCCTCCTCAATTTTTTTTAATTTCTCTGCACGTTTCATTTCGGCACTTTTTTAAAATTCTCCTCACCATAAAAAGTAAAAAAAAAAGAGAATATTTTGATTTTTCTCTCGTTTTGGATGAATTTCGGACGCAGCAATAATAATAATAATGATGATGATGATGATAATAATAATAATAATAATAATAATAATAATAATAATAATAATAATAATAATAATAATAATAATAATAATAATAATAATAATAATAATAATAATAATAATAATAATAATAATAATAATAATAATAATAATAATAATAATAATAATAATAATAATAATAATAATAATAATATTAAAATAAAATAAAATAAAATAAAATAAAATAAAATAAAAAAATAAAATAAAATAAGATAAGATAAAATAAAATAAGATAAAATAAAATAAAGTAAAATAAAATAAAATAAAACAAAATAATAATTACTATTAACAATAATTAAGGAGCACGGGGCGGTTTTGGGCTGAGTTCCTTTATTCTCCTCAGAAATGCCATCAGCACATTCATTAATTAATCCACTCATTAATTCCTTCCCCATTAATTGCAGCCGGGAGCTTTGTAGCCGGGCCTCGACAGAGGAACCCCGGCCGCGGATTTCCCGCCAATTAACGCGCTAATTAACGCCGGGCACTCATTAATTAACGCCGGGGATCCCTTCGCTCATTACCGCGGGGGCGCGGCCGGGACCGGGCACGGATTCCCATTTTTGGGGCATTTTCGGGGCATTTTGGGGACATTTTTGGGACATTTTTGGGGGCATTTTTGGGGCATTTTGGGGACATTTTTGGGGCATTTTTGGGACATTTTCGTTGCCGCTGCCGCGGTTTGTGCGGGGGGAGGGTCGGGAATCGCAATTTCCTTTTATTCGCATTTTATTTTTATTTTTTACAATTTATTATCTCTTTTTCCAATTCATTTCCCTTTCGCTTCCGTATTTCCGCTTTATTCCCCTTTTCCTTCTATTTCATTTCAATTTTTTCCATTTCATTCTCATTTTCCCTTTTAATTCCCATTTTTTTCCATTTCATTCTCCTTCCACGCCCACATTTCCATTGAATTCCTATTTCCGTTCCACTTTTTCATTTCATTCCCGTTTCCTTTCCATTTTTTTTCCCTTTATTTTTATTTCCGTCTCGTTCTTCCCTCGGATTTTCCTTTTCTTTCCACTTTTCCGTTCAATTATCGCTTTATTCTCCATTCATTTCCATTTCATTCTCATTTTATTTCATTTCATTTTTATTTCCTCCAAGGCCGCGGCTCCGTTTGGGATTTTTGGGGTAAATCCCCCCAAATTCCGAGGTCCCGCCCTCCTCCCCCCCTATCCAGAGAGGTTTAGGACCCAAAATTCACCAAAATTTGGGTTTTTCGACCATTTCCGCACCCCCAGGACTCGAAACGGCCCCAAAATCTCCCCGGGGAGCGCCCGGACCCCCAAAATTCCCCCCAAAAATGGAAATTTCGTATTGCATGTGGCGGGGCTGGAGCGAAACTGCCCAAAAATGGGGATTTTTGAGGCGTTTTGGGGATTTATTGCACGGCCCCGAGGCGGCTCGGAGAGGGAGAGGGGGAAAAAGGGGAAAAATGGGGAAAAATGGGGGGAAAATGGGGAAAATGGAGAAAAAGGGGGAAAATGGGGGGAAATGGGGAAAAAAAGGGGGAAGGGGGATCTTGACCCCAAAATTGGTGGTTTTGGGTTTTTTTCCAGGCCAAAAAAAAACCTCGGAAAGGGAAGAAAAATGGGAATAATTGTGGTGGGAATGGGAAAAAAAATAGAAATAAAGGGGAAAGGGAGAGAAAAGGAGAAAAATGGGGGGGGGGGGAAGGGAAAAAGAGGGGAAAAATGGGGGGAAAATGGAAAAAATGGGTGAAAAAACAGGAAAAAGGAGAAGGAGACGCTCGGGAGGGCGCGAGGGGGAAAAAGGGGCAGGAAAAGGGGGCAGAGCTCCTTCCAGCCGCGGTTTTTTTGGGATTTTCCCGGTTTTTTTTCGGGATTCTCCCATAAAAGCGGCGCGGCCGTGACCGTGAACGCGGCGCGTGGGAAAATCCCGATTTTCCACGGAATTAGCCCCCAAATCTGACTCCTCCGCCGAAAAATCCCATTTTTTCCCAATTTTCCCCCCAATTTTCCGCCTTTCCCCTCCCCAAAATGGCAGGAAAATCCCCTTCCCTAAATCCCGAAAATCCCAAAAGTGCCTCGAGCGCAAAATTCCATCGGAAACACCAAAATTGAGGAGGAAAAAAAGGGAAAAATCCCATTCCTGGTCCCCGGAAAGGTCAAAAAATGGGGATTTTTCGGGAGGAAAAAACCTAATTTTTACCAAAACCCGCGGGGTTTGGAGCTGGTTTGGATTTCCTTCCAAAAAAAAAAAAAGGGAATTTTCTCCCATTTTGGGGGGTTTAAATCGGCTTTGAGGGAGAAAACAGCGGCCGGGAATGCCCCGAGCTCGGCCGGGATTCGGGGATTAACGCCTGGAAAATCGGATTCTGTTTTTCCTGCCCAAGTCCCAGATTTTCCACAGCAGGAAAAAAAAAGATTTTTGGGAAGGGGGAAGACGGAATTTTGGGGCATTACAAAGAAACGCTGGAAAATCGGGAGAGAGGGAGGGGAAAGTCTCCAAAAAGCAGAAAAATTCCTTTTTTTCCTGCCCTGACGGGAGCCAACTCCAGCGAAAAATTTAATTTCCAGCCGGGCTTTGTCTCGAGCGATCCAACCCCGAATTTCAGCCCTAAAAATTCCCATTTTCCACTGAAATGAAAGATTCTTTGGGACGTCACCTCGATTTCCCCATTTCCCCCCAAATTCCTTCATTCCAACCACAGAAATTCCCATTTTCCTGCCAAGTTACAGATCCTTTAAGATTTGCCTCGATTTTCCCCATTTCCCCCCAATTTCCTTCATTTTGACCAAAAAAAATCCCATTTTCCACCCGAATTACAGATCGACGACTCCACCTCGATCTCCCCCAAATTCCTTCCTTTCCACCCCAAAAATTCCCACTTGCGATCCTGCCGGGCACCGCCTCCATTTTCCCCCCAAAAAATCCCGAATTTTCGCTGTTTTTTCCCCCTCCCCGCCGAACCCCAAACTCCCCGCCAATCCCAGGCCGGGTTTTTGGGGGAAATCCGGGAATTCCGGCCGCTCCCACCTGAGCTCGGCCTGGCAAAGCTCCCACCAAACCTCCCCTTCCTCCTCCTCCTCCTCCTCCTCGCCGCCTCCAGGGCACTTTCCCTCCCCATTATTTACACTTAATTCCTCTTTTCCTCCTATTTTTAAACTCCATCCCCCCTTTTCTCCTTCCTCCGGGCGGGACGAGATTCACAGTCTCCGTGCGGGGTTTTTTTTCCCCACCGGCAGCGTTTCATTTTTCCTCACCTCCCCTTGCAATTTTCCCGCCGGTTTTGAACCCCGATTTCGCCCGAAACGGCGATGTTTTTTTTTTCCTTTAAAAGAAGGAGAGCGCCTGCTCGCGGAGGAGGAGTCTTTTCTTTTTCATGCGGCGGTTCTGGAACCAGATCTTCACCTGCTGGTCGCTGAGGTTCAGGCGGTCCGAGAGCTCGCGGCGCCGCTGGCGGGTGATGAATTCGTTCACCAGGAATTCTCCCTCCAGCTCGGCCAGCTGCAGCTTCGAGTACGGCTTGCGCTTTTTCCGCGACCTCGTGTGCATCGGGTACCAGGGCGCGCCTGCCGAGACCGCGCCGCGCCTGAAAATCCCGCTTTTCCCCCCGAAAAAAAGCCGTTTTCCCCGCTTTTCCACCGAAAGAAGCGGCCCCGTAACGACTTTGCCGGTTTTTTCCGCTAAAAAAACCTCCCCGAAATGCTCAATTTCCCTTTTTTTTCCGCTAAAAAACCTCCCCGAAATGCTTCGTTTTCCTTTTTCTCTGCTAAAAAAACCCTCCCCGAAATGCTCAGTTTCCCTTTTTGCCCTAAAAGAACCTCCTCGAAATGCCCAATTTTCCTTTTTGCCCTAAAAAAACCTCCCAGAAATGCCCATATTTCCTTTTGTCCGCTAAAAAAAACTCTCCGAAATGCTTAATTTCCTCTTTTTTTTTTCGCTAAAAAACCTCCCCGAAATGCTCAATTTCCCTTTTTGCCATAAAAAACCACCCCGAAATGCCCAGATTTCCTTTTTTCCCCTAAAAAACCTCCCCGAAATGCTTCGTTTTCCTTTTTTCCGCTAAAAAAACCTCCCCGCAAATCTGTTTTCCTGTTTTCCGCTAAAAAACCTCCCCGAAATGCTCATTTTTCCTTTTTTCCGCTAAAAAAACTCTCCGAAATGCTCAATTTCCCTTTTTGCCATAAAAGAACCTCCTCGAAATGCCCAATTTTCCTTTTTTTCCGCTAAAAAACCTCCCCGAAATGCTCCATTTCTCTTTTCCCTCTAAAAAAAACTCCCCCAAATGTCCCTTTCTCCTTTTTCCCCTACAAAAACCTCCCCGAAATCTTTTTCCCTTTTTTTTCCTAAAACCCCCATCCCCAATTCTTGTTTTTCCCCAAAAAATCCCTTCCCGAAATGCCCCTTTTCCATAAAATACTCCCCAAAATGTCCCTTTCCCCCCAAAAAAAACCTCCCCAAAATCCCCTTTTTCCATTTTCCCACCAAAAATCGCTCCCCAAAACGCCTTTTCCCCCTTCTTCCCCCCAAAAAACCCTCCGCAAACCCCTTTTTTTTTTTTCCGTTTTCCCCCCAAAAATCCACTTTACATTTATCCCCATGACCCCGCAGTCCCCAAAGCTTTGCGACCGCGAGGAATTTGGGATTCTTCCCAAAAAAATTGGGGAAAAAAAAACCCAAAATCCGTGGCTCACCCCAAATCCCAGCTCTGGGATTTTCGATTTTTGGGGTTTTTTAAGGATTTCCCCTTTTTTTCCCCTTTCCCGCCCCGTGTTGTTTTTTCTTTCAAAATCTCCTTTTCCCCCCTTTTCCCTCCCCAGTGACCCCAAAAGCGCTTCCCGGTGTTGTTATTTTTAGGGATTTTCCCTTTTTTCCCATTTTTCCTCGTCCCCGCTGCTGCCGCCGCCTCTGGCCGCAGTTTTTTTGGGTTTTTTTTTGTTTGTTTTTTATGGGATATTTACATGTTTACGGCCTTTTCTGTTAAAAGCGGCGGCACCCCATAAAACATTCGGGATTTCGCTGCTACCCCTAGCGGCCTGACCCCACAGCGGCGCCGCCGGGAACCCCAAATTTCCCCCCAAAACCCAAAAAAAAAACCCCAAAAAATCCCAATTCCAGCGCTGTCCGAGTTCAGGGCGGCACCAACCCCGCCGAACCCAAAATCCCTCATCCAAAACCCCTTTAAAATACCCCAAAATCCCTCTAAAACACCTCAAAATCCCTCTAAAACAGCCAAAAATCCCTCTAAAATACCCCAAAATCCCTCTAAAACACCCCAAAATCCCTCTAATATACCCCAAAATCCCTCTAAAACACCCCAAAACCCCTCTAAAGTACTCCAAAATCCCTCTAAAACGCCCCAGAATTCCTCTAAAATACCCCAAAATCTTCCCAGAACACCCCAAACCCCCCCAAAAACCCCCAAAATCTCCTTTCTTGCACCTTCCCGCCGCTGCCCAGGCTCAGGGGTGACACCAACCCCGCCGAACCCAAAATTTTCCCTCAAAATCCCAGTTAAAAAAACCCAAAAATCGGTTTTCAGGACCTTGGCAGCGCTGCCAGCGTTCAGGGGTGACAGCGAACCCCAGACCCCCCGGGAAAAACCCTACAGAACACCCCAAAACCCAACGAAAAACCAAAAAATGCCTTCCGAAACACCCCAAACTTCCTACAAAACCCCAAAACCCCCTCAAAAACCCCTCCAAAAACCCCAAACCCCCTTTTTTTGGACCCTGACCACCCCTGTCGCGGTTCAGGGGTGCCACCAACCCCTGCGAACCCCAAATTCCCGGGGAAAACCTTTTAAACCCCCCCAAAACCCCCCAAAACCCCAAATCCCCCCTTTTTTAGGACCGCTCTGCGCATTCGGGGGCGACACTGCCCCCACAAAACCCCAAATTCCGAGGGAAATCCTTCCAAAAACCACCAAAAACCCCCTCCAAAACCCAAAGAAAACCACCAAAATGCCCCAAAACCCTAAAAAATCTGCATTTTCAGAATTTTATCGTCACTGCCGAGGTTCGGGGTGACACCAGCCCCGCTGTGCGCCCTTTATTCCCTGGGAAAACCTTCCAAAATTCCCTAAAAAAACCCTCTAAAAACTCCAAAACCCTTCCGAAACACCCCCAGAAACCCCCAAAACCCTCAAAACCCCCCTAAAATCCCCAAACCGCCTTTTTTGGGAGCTGAGCAGCGCTGCCAGGTGACCCCAGCCCCTCCGGGTCCCCTTTATTCCCAGGGACGCACCCTAAAAAATCATTCCAAAAACCCCAAAACGCCTCCACCCCAAAAACCACTCAAAAAAAAAAAAAAAAAAAAAAAAAAACAACCAAAAATCCCATTTCCAGGCTCTGCCAGCAGCCCCGCTCCGTCCCCTTCATCCCCAGGGGAAAACCCTTCCAACACCCACCAAAAAAACCCTAAAAAAAACCTAAAAACCCCAAAAAAAATCCCCAAAATCCCCAAATCCCATTCCCGGGCTCTCTCCACCTCCCTGTGCTCAGGGGTGACACCAACCCCGCCGAACCCCAAATTCCCGGGGAAATCCCTTCCCAACGCCTCCAATACCCATCACAGAACCCCGTCAAACACCAAAATCCCCCAAAAATCCCCAAAAATCCCCATTTCCAATCCCAATTCCAATTTCAGGTATGACCCCCGACCGAGCGTGTCCCCTTTATTCCCGGAGGGAACTCCTCCAAAATCCCTCCGATACCCGCCAGAAAACGCCTCTAAATCCCCTAAAAACCCCCAAAACCTTCCAAAAACCTCCCAAAAATCCCCAAAAACCCCAAACCCACCCCAAAAACCCAACCCGCGTCCTCCCACCGCTCAGGGGTGACACCGACCCCACCGCGTCCCCGGGGAAAACCCTTCCAGCGCCCACAGAAACAACCCTCCAAAACCCAAAAAAAACACCCCAAAAACCCCAGACCCGCCCCAAACCCCCCTTCCTATTCTCTCACCGCCCCCAAAAACACCAAAAACCCCAAAAAAACCCTCAAAACCCCTTCTGTTACCACCTCTCCCCGCGTTCAGGGGCGGCACCAGCCCCGCCGCATCCCCTTCGTTCCCGGGGGAACCCTTCCAGCACACACCAAAAAAAACCCAAAAAGCCCCCAATTCCCCCCAGAAAAACCCAAGACCACCCCAAAAACACCCAAAACCACCCTAAAAACACCTAAAACCACCCTAAAAAACCCCAGAGCCCGTTCTGTCACCAGCTCCGCCGGCGTTCAGGGGCGAGCCCAGCCCCGCCGCGTCCCCTTCATTCCCGGGGCAACCCTTCTAAAACCCACCACAAAGCCCCTCCAACACCCACCAAAACCCCAAAAAAATACCCAAAACCACCCCAAAACCCCCCAAAAAACCCAATCCCGCGCTGTCTCACCCGCACCCGCGACGCTGAGCGGCGAGCCCAGCCCCGGCTCGTCCCCTTCATTCCCGGGGCAACCCTTCCAGCGCCCACCAAGAAAACTCCCAAAAAACCCCCAAAGCCCCCGAAAAACCCAAAACTTCCCAAAACCCCCCAAAAATAACCCAATCCCGTCTGTCTCACCCGCTCCGGCGGCGCTGAGCGGCGAGCCCAGCCCCGGCGCATCCCCTTCATTCCCGGGGCAACCCTTCTAAAACCCACCACAAAGCCCCTCTGACACCCACCAAAACCCCCAAAAACCCCCCAAATCCCCCCAAAACCCCAATCCCGTCCGTCTCACCCGCTCCGGCGGCGCTGAGCGGCGAGCCCAGCCCCGGCGCGTCGCCCTTGCCCTCGGCCAGCAGCGAGGAGCCCGAGTCCGACTCCAGGGACGCGCAGCTCGGCGGCTCCTGCGCGCCGCCCTCGGGCCCCGCGAACTCGAACTTGCCGAATCCTCCTCCGAGGTTGCCCAGGTTGCCCAAATTGCCCAGATGGTTGCCCAGGTTGGCGCCGTTGCCCGCGTTGGCGGCGGGCAGCGGCTCCAGCGGCAGCAGCGCCCCGTCCCTGCCCTCGCGGCCCTTGTCGCCCTCCCGGTAGCAGCACTTGCCCTCCTCGGCGCGGGCGAGCTCGCAGGCGCGGCCGAAGCCCAGGTAGGGCTGCGGGTACGGCCCGCAGGGCTCCGAGGGGGCCCAGGCGGGCAGGGAGGCGAAGTTGTCCCGGCGCGGGTAGGGCAGCGACGGCAGCGCCGGGATTTGGCCGCCGGACGCGCGGAAGTTGGGGAAGTAGAAGGCGTCGCCCGTGTGGATGTTGAGGAGCGGCCCCACGAAGCCGGGGTTCAGCAGGTTGTGCTCGCCCATCGTCCGCGGGGCCGCCCCGGGAGCGGCGGGGACAACGGGGACAGCGGGGGGACGGGGACAGCGGGGGGACGCCGAGGAGAGCGGGGGAACGGGGGAACCGGGGGGGAATGGGTTTCAGCGGCTCCGGAGCGCGGGGGGACCCCTCCGCAGCCCAGACAAAACAGCGCCGAGTTCCTCCCGTTTTCCTCCCTTTTTTCCTCCTTTTTTCCCTCATTTTCCCTCCCTTCTTCCTCCCTTTCGCCTCCTTTCTTCATCCCCTTTTCTCTCCTTTTTTTCTCCTTCCTCTTCCTCCTTTTCCTCCCTTTTATCCTCCCCCTTTCCCTCATTTTTTCTTCCCTTTCCTCTCCCTTTTATCTCCTTTATTCCTCCCTTTTATCTCCCACTTCCTTTTATTTCCTTTCTTCCTCCTTTTTCCTCCCTTTTCCCACATTTCTCCTCCTATTTTTCTCCTTTTCCCCCTCATTTTCCCTCTTCCCCCCGGACCAAACCAATCCCTAAAAACCCCAAACCCACCTTGAATTAAATTCCATTTTCCCGACGCTTTTCAGCCCCCCCCAGCGCTGCCGAAACCCCAAAATTCCCATTTTCCGCCAGCAATATTCGGGTTTTTCACCCCAAAACCGCTCCGGGTTGAGGGGGGGAGGGAGGGGAGCGGCGCCGCTCATTAATTAATTAATTAATGACCTCCTTGATGAAGCAAAAGCGCTGCGGCGTCGCCCCAATAAATCGCCATCAGATTTTGTGTCACATAAACTTGTCGGGCTCGGAAGGAGCCGGACGGCTCCGAGCCGCTCCCACCTTTTCCTGGGATCCTTGTCAGCTTTTTAACCCTTTAAAATCATTTTTTGCCTTTTCAAACACATTTTTGGTCATTTTTTTATCACGTTCTGATCATTTCCCGTCGTTTTTTGGGTCATTTCCCACCAATTTTTGGTCATTTTCTGCCGTTGTTTTATCGAGTTTTGTATTCCTTGCTCATTTTTTATCGTTGTTTTATCATTTGTTGATAATTTTGATCGTTGTTTTATCATTTGTTAATAATTATTATCTTTGTTTTTTTGTCTTCTTATCATTTTTGGGCCATTTTGTATCATTTACGGTCATTTTTCATCATTATTTTATAATTTTCTGTTCATTTTTACCATTTCATTTTGCCAGTTTTACCACTTTCCGTCACCTTTAATAATTTTATCATCCTTTTACCCTTTCTTATCACTTTTGGGCCACTTCATATACATTTTGTTGCCATTTTTGATCATCATTTCATTATTTTTGGTCACTTTCCCACCGTTTTTACCCTTCTCTCACCATTTTTTGACCATTATTTCCATTTCCCCCCTCATTTTCGCGGCCTCAGCAGCTCCGGGGCGGATCCAGCCTCTCCAGGATTTTTTTTTTTTGGGACAATCCCTCTCTTTTATTGTTCCTTTTCCCTCCTTTATTCCCCAGAGATCCCCAAACCCCAAAATTCGGATTTCCCCCCCATTTTCCCCTTGGAATACCCCAAAATTTCCCATTTTCCCGCCCCCTGCGAGCGGCGCAGAGGGGATTTAATTCCATTTATTTCCAGTTTTTCCATTTCTTTCTCCCTCCCTCCCTTCCCCTTCTCCCGAGGAAAAACAGGGAAAAAATAACAACAATAAAAAAAATCGATACCGGCAACTTCCAGCGTGAAATAAACCCAAAAAAACCCCAAAATAAACCCAAAACCCCCCAAAATAAACCCAAAACCGCCCCAAAATAAACCCTGGGGTGGGAAATAAACCCAGCAGAGGAGCTCCGAGCGGAGCGCGGCGCCCGCGGCGCTTTGGGGCGGAATTTCCCTTTTTGGCCATTTTTAATCCTTTTTTTTCTCCCGTTTCCCCACCTTTATTTTGCTTTTCCTCCCTCCCCCCGGCTGGAATTCTGGAATTTCGCCTTTTCCTCCCCAAAATCCTTGCCGGGGAGGCGAAACCGCCTCAATTCCCATTTCCCCACCCCCGGCTCAATTTCAGGCATTTCCCCCAAAATAAATTCATTTTTTGCCCTGCCGGAGGCTCCAAAACCCCTCAAAAAAAACCCCAAAAAACCCAAAAAACCCAAAAAAAACCCAAAAAAACCCCGAATCGATCAGGTGCGGCTCCCCGGGGCGCCTTTCCCTTCGCGCCGAGGTGGAAAAACCCGAATTTCCGCTTTTTTCCAGCTTTTTTTCCAGCCTGGAAAAGTCCGCCCGCGCCTGGCGCACCTTTCCCTGCGGAGTCACCAAACCCGAGCCGCAAATATTCCCTCGCAACCCCAAAAATTCGCTTTTTGAACCCCAAAAATTCGCTTTTAGGGGAGGTTTTTCCTTATTTTTCCCGATTTTTTCTTATTTTTGGCGTTTATTTCCTTACTTTTGAGGAGGTTCCTTATTTTAGGTTTTTTTTCCCCTTATATTTTGGGATTTTTATTTTTATTTTTGTGGGGTTTTTTTCCTTATTTTTGGGATTTTTTTTTTCTTCTATTTTTGATTTTTTTCCCCTATTTATTTTTTTCCCCTTTTTGGGCGTTTTTTTCAAGCCCTGCCAAGGAATTTTTCCCCCTCCAGGTACGAGGAGGGGATAAAAAGCTGCTGGATGATTTTCAATAATTTCCATCACGCCCCGCAATCTCCTTTGTTCTCTCCCTTTTTTTTTTTTTTTTTTAATTTTCTCAGAAAAAAAATCAAAAAAAAAAAATCCTTCCCCTCCGCCAAAAATTCCTGTCCCGGGGCTCCGTTCCCTGCTGCAAAAAGGGAATTTCTGCCCCAAAATCCTGATTTTTAGGGGTGTTTATCCCTGATTATTGACATTTTTGCGGTCAAAAATTCAATTAAAAATCGCGTTTTTGGGGGAGGCGCTGCGGGGTTTAGGGTGGAGGCTCGCAGTGAGAAAAGTGATTTATTTGGGGTTTTTTTCCCCCATTTTTTCCCTTTTTTTTCCCCATTTTTCCCCCTTTTTTCCCGGTTTTCCAAGGTGGGAAAAGCCCCGGAGTTTCCCAAGCGTGGCCTGGAGCTCTCGGAGCGAAACGAAACCAGAAATAAAAACCGAAATAAAACCAGAAATGGAAATAAAAGCAGCGCCTAAAAACCCCTCGGCGGCGCTCCCGCCTTTCCAGCGCGATTTTTTCCCATTAAAATCCCATTTTCCTCCTCAGGAAATGCTCGAAAAAATGACTTTAAAAACCCCGGGGACGCCTCTTCTAAAAAAAAACCGCAAAAAAAAAGAGAAAAATCCCAATTCCCAATTAAATCGCTTGGAAAAAACTCTCAGCTTTGGAATTCCGTTTTTTTAACTTTAAAAAAAAAAAAAAGGAGGGAAAAAGGAATAAAAAACTAATTTAATAAAATTTAAAAATCATTTAAAAATAAATATAAAATAAATATAAAAATCATTTTAAAAATAAATATGAAATAAATATAAAATAAACTCAAAACACATCGAAAAGAAATATTCAAAAATTCCAAATAAACTCAAAATTCGCTTTTTCCCACCGCGAAAAATCCCGATTTTCCGGCAAAACCTCCCAGTAAAGATCATTTCTTTTGAATTTTTCCTCCTTTTTCGGGGGGAAAGGCCGGAAATTCCCAACCTGGGTGGAAAAAAAGGCCCGAAAATAATAAAATTCGGGGCCGGGGCCATAAAAGCGCGGCGCAGTTCAAGGTCACTGTCTCGGGCAGTAAAAAGGGTCGGCATCCCATGCAAATGAGCCCGCCCGAAAATATTCCCATTTTTGGGCTTTTTTCGGCGCTTTTCCCTCCTTTTTATTCCCGGGATTTTCCCTTTTTTTCCCTTTTTTCCTGCTTTTTTTCCCTTCCCGTCGCGGCGCTGAAAAATCCAATTTTTGGCGTTTTTTTCCCACTCGTAAATTCAATTTTTTTTTCCCCCCCAGCGCTCGGCTCGGCCTGGAGCGGGATTTTTATAGAAATCCGAATTAAAAATGGGAGAAATTAATGGAAATATTCTGAATTTGGGCAGTTAAAAGTGGAAGAAATGAAGGGAAATATCCCGAATTTTCCGGCTCGGGGAAGGACTCGGCCCCGCTTGGAATTTTCTTCCCAAAAAAACCGAAATTTAACCCTCTCCAGGCCAAAATAATCCCGATTTTCCTGGCTGGGAGGAAGAAATTTGGGAGGGAAAAATGGAATTTAAAGGGATTTTAGCTGGAAAAACGAATCCAGGATTTTTTCTTCTCGGCCCAAATCCATCGGGAATTGTGGAGAGAGCAAAAAAAAATTGAAATATTTGGGATAAAATCAAGGAAAAATCCAGGAGTTGGGGAAGAAATGGAGAGGTTTGGGCAAATGGCGCAGAAATGGGAATTTTGGGGAGGGCGGAGATGCCCGCGCTGCTTTTCTGGGGGGAAAAATTCGATTTTTTTGGACAATTTCTGCGTTTAGGAAATCTCCGGGAGCTTCATTGACACCTGGGAAAGGGGCCAAAAATGGAATAAAATGAAATAAAATGAAATAAAATAAAATTTCATGGGGAAAAAAAAAGGAGTTTTCTGCGGGTGGTTCCGGTTCGGGTCCCAAAGAGCGAAATTCCTGAAAAATCCCAATTTTTCCCCCAATTTTTCCTCATTTTTTGCCAGCGGACGGGAAAATCCAACCCCAAACCCGGGGAAATTCGGGTTGAACTCCAGCGCTGCTTTTGGGGCAGAAATTCGGGTTTTTTCCTCCCTGGAATTCCCAAAAAAACCCCAAAAATCCCTGGAAAAAACCCCGTGGGACTCTCGCGTCCCGCTGGCGTCAGGAGCACCCAAAAAACGCGATTTTAATCGGAATTTCCGCGGAAAAAGAGACAGAAAAAAGGGAATTTCTGGGATCCGCGCCGCCAATCCCGGGCTGGGTTCCCAAATATCCCCAAAAAATGAATTTTTTTCCCCAGTTTGAGGCGGAGCAGCCAAGAAAGGAAAAAAAAAAACCCAAAATAAACTTGGAAGCGGCGGCGCTGGAGGAGCCTCGGGAAAAATTCCTTGGCAAAGCCTCGGGAAGCGCAAAA